TATAGGTTAAACACAGAATGGCATATGACCCAGCAATTTTATTCCTTGGTATCTATCCAAGGGAACTGAAAAATCTGAGGGGCTTCAAAGTTTAGAAAAATGAAAGAAAGATGAAGTTCCCTTTCATCAAACACAGAAACTTGTTTGACTGTTCATTGCATTAATCCTCATAGCTAACAGGTAGAACCAACTCAAATGTCACTGACAGACAAATGGATAAAATGCAGTATAGCCCTACAATGATTATTCAGCCTTAAAAAAGAATGAAATAGGGACATATGCTATGACATAAACTGAAAACATTACATTAAGTGAAAGAAACGAGTCACAAAGGATGACACGTGTGGTTCTGTTTATATGAAATGTCCAGAATAGGCACATTTATCTAGAGAAGGTAGATTAGTGATTGCCAAAGCCTAGAGGGAGTGATGTGGGAAAAGTAAAGTGACTCATAGGTAAAAGGTTTTTTGTTTTTTTTTTTGCAGGGGGCAGGAGGCAGTGACAAAAATATTTCAAAGTTGATAGTGGTGATGGTTATACAACTCCTGTGAATTTACTAAAAACCACTATACTGTACACTATAAAGAGGTGAATTTTATGATATATAAATTCTGCCTCAAGAAAGCTGTTACTTAAAAAAAAAAAAGGAGGGCCTTTAACGTAGCTCCATTACTCTTAGTTTTCACAAACATTCTTTTTTAAAAACCTTTTGGACATGTAAGAGGAAAATTTCTACTTCATGTTGTTGTTTGAATGGATTCCAATTCATGGCAATCATATATGTGCAGAGAACTGCTCCACAGTGGTTTCCAAACTGTAACTTTCTGGAAGCTGACTGCCAGGCTTCTCTTCCGAGGAGGCTCCAGGTGGGTTCAAACCACCAGCCTTTCTACTGTTGTTGTTGTTAAGTGCCGTCGAGTCGGTTTTGACCCATAGCAACTCTGTACAGGGTTTCCGAGGGTGTAAATCTTTACGGGAGTAGAAAGCCTGATCTTTCTCCCGCAGAGCAGCTGGTAGTTTAGAACCGCTGACCTTAAGGTTCGCAGCCCAATTTGTAACCACTACGCTACCAGAGCTCCTTTCTACTAGTAGTCTAGTATTTAACTATGTGTGCCATCCAGGGACTGCTAAATGATCAATGTTAAGTGCTGTTGATTCTGACTCACAGTGACCCCATACAGTGTTTCGGAGGAGCAGCTGGCTAAGTTTGAACAGCTGACCTAACCATTCAAACAGACCTTTTGGTTCAGTGTTTCTCCTACAGTGCCATACCAGGATTCCCTAAATGATCATAGTAGTTTATAGACATCTGACAAGTTGAAGTCAAATGAAAAATAAATTTAAGAAACCAAACAAGAACACACATGTCCCACAATTTTCAAAAAGCCCTTCTACTCCACTACCGCTGAGTTGATTCCGACTCACAGTGACCCTATGTAATAAAGCAGAATTGCTCCATATGGTTTCTGAGGCTGTAAGTCTTTACGGGAACAGATGGTCTCATCTGTCTCCCTCAGTTAAGTTTTTATTACTTAAAGTTTGCATCTCAAGTTTATACTTTGAGTCAGTAAGTCACGGAGCATCGTCAAGAGCATCGTAAGTCACAAGAATGTGGTTGCAGGACCGCTATAGGAGGTAAGGTGGTATGGTATATCTTTAGCTTATAATTCTAAGTAAAATGTAACGCACATACTAGTAGTAATTGTATACTGTTTTGCACTAATACTACAAAAATGTTTTATTAAAATGCTCCAAATGCTCTTTGAGCATAGTACATAAATGATAGATATAAAGCATGTCTACCTCCAACACTTCTGGTATGGTGCTATAGGATCAGCACTGGACTGCAAAGAAGGTATGCAGTTCACATCGACCAGCTGCTCCTGGAAAATCCTTATACAGTGTTACTACCAGTTGTAATTGACTCAGTGGCAATTACAACCTAAAGTACAAAAACAAAAGGCATAGATAGGTAGGTAGGTACTCAAATATGAAAGAGCTTTAAAGTTCAGGGAAAATGGAATTAAAGGACAACAGAATTTCCCACTAACTTTTTGAAGGTCCTTTGTGTATGTTACAGTTGATAGACAATTTGATACGAAAAAAGGAAAAAATAATTAATATGCTGTAGAACTACCATTAGTATTTTAAAATGGTATCATATCCTGCTAAAATATGCCCCCACCACCAATGTAGAGAGATTCTGCTCAAATTCGAACTTGTATTTTTAAGAGATTTAAAAAAAAACGAAAACAATTTAACTGTAGATATTTTACTCTAGGCAGCTTTACAAAAATACCATCATTTGATTTTGAGTTAAAATTAGTTAGCATGTAACATCACAAAAAAAACAAAACCTAGGCATTCAAAAAAACACTTTTTTGGAGACTATAAACCAATTGTTGTTGTTGTTAAGTATCGTGGAGTTGGTTTGGACTCATACTGACCCTGTACAGGGTCTCTGAGGTGGCAAATCTTTACGGGAGCAGAACGCGTCATCTTGTTCCCATGGAACAGCTGGTAGTTCCGAACTGCCAACCTTGAGGTTAGCAGCCCGATTCATAACCACTACACTACCAGAGCTCCTTTATAAACAATTACTCACTAGGAAAGTTATGCCTGCTTTGGTTATATCTTTGAAATGGCAAAGATGTCGCAAGGGAGGCCTAGAGATTTTAAGAATCTCAAAGAGGCACCATCAAACTAAATAAATATGCTTCTCTAAAAATAAGAACTAAGGAAACTTCACAAATGGGAATGTGTTGAACAATATCAGAAATGAGATTGGAAAAAGTCAGCAAATCACTTGTTTAGACTAAGAGCTCTTTTATGAGTGAGAGACTGTACTGTGTCTTTATAGATTCCTGGTGCCTGGCACAGAGGAGCTCAATAAACATTTGTTCAATTAAAAAGGGAAAATGTGATGGACTAAAAATATTACCAAAAGAAAAGACTGTCCAAAAAGAGAATAGACCATTTAATTTGCATACACAAAAACAAATGGAATCACTTAGGCTACTTTTCCCACCACCCTTTTTTTCAATAACCTTGAGCAACCCCAAGTGGAGTTTAAATTATCTGTAATCATAACTAGTGGGTTTAAACATTTTAAAATGCATACGCATAAACTGTATTTTATACCTATAAAGTACATACATACATAAACATTCAATAAACATTAAATTGAGATGCAAACACCAGATTTTAAAAATATTTACCTTTACTACAAGCAAAGTTGAAAGGGTTAAAAACAGTGGAAGGCCTAACCTTCCCTAAAGGCTAACATTAAAAAAAAAAAAAAAAAAAAAAAATATATATATATATATATATATAATTTTTCCATCTTAGGACAGGGAACAATTACAGAAATTAAATAATCTTTTTCAAAACAAATTTCTCAACGTTAAAGACCCAGCAAGATGTTCCCATTTGTTAAGGTTCACAAGTCCTAAGTAGTGAACACTGTGCAGGCACCAGGGGGCCTCCCAAGAGCAACTTGATAGTAAAAGGTAATCAAGAGTTCCTGGTAAAACTTCACTGCCTATTCACAGCTGTGAGACTGTTGGAAGGTTTTCACATCTGGAGCAAATATAATGTATTTGCTTGGTTACACAGTGGGTACACACAGAGCTGACGTTGTAGACACCCAAACATGAGCTGAAAAAACAGAACTAGTACCCTTACCAAATCATACAACCTTATTTGGTGATTTTCCAAAATGAAGTTCACTGTATCAAACAATTCTCCAGGTAATTAGAAAGCAAGTAGCAGTTAAAGCATATACAATCCTTAAACTGTATCTGACAGTTAAAACACATACAATCCTTAAACTGTGTCTGACAAAAAAAAAACGAACTCTCAAGAATTCGAAATGGCTTAATTTCTTTTCTCTTCACAGACACAAAACAATTAGCGATATGCAAATTTTAGGGTAAGTAGATCATTTGCAGAAGATTGTTGTTAATTTTGAAAAATCTCCTGCAATGTAAATCAATACATTCAACTCCCTAATTCTTCCCTTTTCCCTACTCCTCACCCTCAGTCCTCCCACCAACAGAAAACTATTCACTAAAAACTATTAGGGCCCAGGAACTTACGATGCTGAGACGACTTGCAAATACCTTTCAAATACAAGAGAAGCTTTACAGTAGACCTTTCCTAACTCTTCAGAAATTAAATTCTACTTAAACCTGTAAATTCTCAAGGCCAAAGACCAGTCCCTTCAGCAAACTTATCCTACTTTTCGGATTTCTCGAGTGAGTCTTCAATTCGATATAAGATTTTTGTTTTACCTATTTAAAACAAAACAAAACAAAAAACCCAACTAAATAATAAATGGTATTAGCTCCCACTAATTTTATTCGCTTTCAAGAGTTCGTTCTACAGCATCATTTAACAATGCTGAACGGCAGATTAAGCCATCATTATATTAAGGTTTAAACACACACACACACACACACAACATATGTGTGTGTGTGTGTGTGTACATACATATACGCATATGTATAAAATCTGCTACCGGAACAATCTAAGGCAGCAAAGGCCAATGTACAAAGAACAGAACATTCACATTCCACGGTCACACAATGCCCACGAGCACGCACCCTCGCACTCCCCTTGGAAAGGGTCACCGGAGGCGAGCACAACAGCAAAGGGAGCCCAGCACCCCATTCTTAAAAACTGTCTCCCCGCAGATGGGCTCCTCACAACCCCAGATCAACGCGCCCCTGTCCCAAGGAAAAGAACCTTTCGGAGGGCCCGGCGGGACTCGCAGCCTCCCTCCAACCGAGTTCTCGAAGGCCGCTCCCCACGCCAACAAGGCGGCTCGCCCCCTCCTAGGAGGGCACCCCCACTCGGTTTGGCCCGCTCCTCTCCCGAGGCGCTTCTCACCAGGCGAAAAGCACCCTGCCGCCCCCACGGTTTCGGCGGTAGGAGAAGCGAGGGAACGAAGGTGGTTGCCCCATCCCTCCAGCCCTGGCCGGCCTGGCCTCGGCACTCACCCTCCAGCAGTCGGGTGATGAGACTGTCCACGTTCAGCTCCCCGTCCGCCATCTTGTCGGCACCAGACTCTGCTTCCCGGCAGCGGGAACAAGGGCTTCTCGGCGGCGGAGGCTACGGCGACGGCTCGGCGTTCTCTCACCTACAAGTCACGCGGCGTTTCGACCCGGGTTCCAACTCCCCCCTTTTCCCGGGCCCTCCCCCCACCCCCTCCCCACTAAGCAGAGAGCGCGCGCACACTTAAGAGGCAAACAAAATAAATAAATAAACAAGCAAGGCCCCACAAACCGGGCCGCGTCAGACCCAGGCCACCACCTCCTCCTCCTCCTCCTCGGCACCGCCCAACTCCGCAAAGCTCACCAGCGCCGCCACGGCCCAACCCGCAGCGCCACTCCACACAGCCCTACGCCGCCACCGCGCCACGCAGCCTTCCGCGCAAGCGCGCCAGGCACTCCTTCACAGCTTCCCTCCCCGCCCTTGCCTTTTGCGCAATCGCACTGCACTCAGTTCGCCCGCCGCCCTGCCGCCACCGTCTCCGCCGTCTTAACGCAGGTGCGTAGCTCTTTCCCTCCGCTTCCACTGCGCCGAATCTCCGCGGCGGCGCAGGCGCTTCGGAGGGACTAGGGATTTGCTGCACTGAGGAAGCTCCCATTACGCAGGCCACGCGTAGGCAGAGTTACCCTTCTCCAGGTCCTTCCCAGCTTTCTGGTCCCCCGCCGCTCAGCGGACTCAGTGGTTATGTTCTTCCCGCATCGCTTTTCATTTTGCTTGGCTTGGTTCCCTGGTTTTGCAAGCAACTCTTCATGTTTCCGTTAACCGGAAAGCCTGCACTGCAGTTACCCGTATATGAAACCTTGCACTTTATCCATGCAGCACACAAAAAGGTGTTACTTTATTGGAAAAGCATAACAATGCCAATAACAGGTTTTTGGTACACAACCATTACACAAGGCTGGGTCCCCAAGTGTCACTGGGTGAAGTAAATTTAGTAAATTTAATTAAAGTGGAAGGGTCAGCAATAAGAATATTTTAAATGAATACTGCTTTCATACGGGGCTTTTATCTTTATCACCCTGTGGATACTACCTTTCAACAATGTTTTTTCGTTCATGCATCCATTAATTTGTTTAAATACCACAAGTTGTAATGAACAGGAAAAGGTAAAAACATTCACTGCCTTCTCCTCTAGGGAGACAAGCTGGAATGTATTAATCAGGTTACTGAGGGAACCAATCCTCCCCACCTCCCTCCCCAGAAGACAGGCTAGAATGCTACTCAGGTTACTGAGCAGGACCAATCTTCTGGTTTCCCTCCTGTCTTTAAACAGGTCTGCAACCTAGCCCCTTCCTGATTCTATCCCCCATATAAGCCCTGTACTAACGTGAACTCCGGTCTCGGGATCTTGAGAAGTTAGCTCTTCTGAGCCAGCCAGTTTAATAAAATCTGAAACCCTGCTTCAACTCTCCGAGTGGCCTTGGTTTCTTCCGGGATGGATCTAAAAGCTGCTGTAACAGTAATTGTTTATGTGTTTGTCTGTCACACTCTGAAGTTCGTGTCTTCACAAAAAAACATTTCTGTGTCTAGCACATAGAAGAGAGATGGAGAGATACACAGACTCAGAAAGATTGGTTGTCTAGATGTTCTCCACCACATAAAATTGTTGTAGAAAGGCAGGAGGAAGAATAGTCACATAAAGGATATGGGCTTGTCCAAGCTTTTAGCCTGTTTAAAGAGATCTAAAATTCTGACAGACAGTGCCCTAAATTTAAGGCAGCATCTATCTGAATGGCTCATCCAAATATATCACTAATAATAGCTAATATGTTTTGAGATCCTTGTATGTGCTTGACACTGTTTAAAGGGTTACATGTTTGCAGTCATATGAGGTGGTTGTTGTTAATTACCGTTGAGTGGGTTCCAACCCATAGCAACCCTGTACAGGTCTTCCGAGGACAAATAGTACCTGTTTGTGGTCCAAATAGGTACTATTATCTTCACTTTGGCAATGGGATTATTGAGTCACAGATTGGTTAAATACATAACCCCAAGTCATACACGTAAGTAAATAGCAACTCTGGGATTCAAATCCAGATATCTATAGCCAAAAGTCTGTATGTTTAATTATTGCGATATGTGTATGTGAACTGCATGTGAGGTAATGTTTTTAAACATGCTTGTGCTGTGTCATAATCTTAGTAGAAACCATAGCTTTTAGACAAAAAAAAAAAAATTGTCCAACCAAGTATTTTGTAATGGTCTTACATTGTGCTTACAGAGACAGCATTTCTTAATGCCCCACCCCACCCCCTTTTTTTTCTCTAGCTCTTTCTACCTTCATTTCAGGATATAGCTTGTACCTTGGCAGTGATCATAGGAGAACAGATAGCAAGCTGTAGTGGTGGGCCTGTGTGGAGTAGTTTTCACAGACTCATTGCTCCTGGTTCAGTTTGCAGCAGATGAAAATGAAGAAATAGCTCCATCATTCTATCTTTTTTCGTTGAAGTACATATATTCTAACATGTACATGGATTCAAGGTAAAAGAAAGTATTTAAGTTAGCTTATATAAATATATACATCAGGGTAGATTAAAATAAGCACAGAGAAGTTTAGGAATCCCTGGTGCCACAGTGGTTAAGAGCTTACTTGCAAACTGAAAGGTTCATGGTTCAAACCCACTAGCCATTCCATGGAAGGAAGATGTCTGCACTTGTAAAGATTGATAACGTTGGAAATCGTATGACACAGTTCTATTCTGTGAGTCAGAATTAACTCAATAGTCATGCGTTTGATTTGAGTACAGAGATAAATAGGGCAAAAGGAAACTGGGAGTCTCAGTTTTATATGCAAAATGCATGATGTTAGGTCCTATTAGTCTGCTATAAAGGACACACACACACAAAAATAAATAAATAAATAAATAAATAAATAAATAAATAAATAAATAAAAGATCAGTGGTAAGTTGGAACCATGGAGTCGGTTCCAATTCATAGCAACCCTACATAGGGGTTTTGAAGGCTGTAAGTCTTTAAGGGAGCAGAAAGCCTCATCTTACTCTCATGGAACAGCTAGCAGTTTTGAACTGCTGACCTTGAAGTTAGCAGCCCAACTCATAACCACTATGCTAACCAGACCTCCTTCAGCAGCAAGTAGAGTAGCTTTTTTTTTTTTTTAGGGTAGCTATTTTTGCTGACCTGGAAATAGGACTTGATTGAATACACTTGAGTTGGGTCCCACTTCCCTGAATCTCTTCTATGAGTAACAATGCTTGGGAGCACTTTTATACACAAGTCTGCTTGATCTCCAATTTCCATGGGGCTCCTCAGTTCAAACTGTTTGTGCCCCAAATATATGCAGACATATGTAAAGGACAAAGGATATGCAAAGGAAACTGGATTGCACTGAGAGGAAATGAGATTTAGAGAGAAAATCATGAAGGAGCAAAAGAGAAGCCAGTCTCAACATAGAATTCTGAGGATTCAAAGGGATTGGAGAGTAGTTCTGAGTAGTGAGTGCAATGGTTCTTATCCATTTCCTCCAGGTTTCCCAGTGCTTTGGAATCCTGGGAGAAAAAGAGTTCTTATAAAAATGAAAGAGCTACTATGACTAGAAGTTCAACCAACTTTCTGTGGGATCTCTGTCCCAAAGAACTATATTAGAATTCTTAAGATTTTTAAGATAAACTTGTGCATGCTCCATATGTTACCTAACACCCCAGTAGTTTGGAACAAATCATATTAATATTAACTTCAAGTAAGACAAACACTACAATTAGCTTCACCTCAATTCAGATCATATTTGCCACTATAGTATCTTTTTATATCTTTTTATTTCTTTCTTTCCAGAGTGAAATATGTTTATTGAAGGAAATTTGGAAAAAGAGATAAATTCATTCACCAGTGATCTCACCAGCCACCCATAACCATTGTGCAGTCTCATTTTTGAATGTATACAATACAATATACAAGGCTGCTTCAAAATGTTCATGGGAAAATTCCATTATCTTCTTTGTGTGTGAAACTTTTTATTGTGAATTGAGTGAAGGTATACAGAGCAGATCATCAGGTTTACATCCAACAAGTCACACACTTCATTTCATCTCAATGATTGCAATCCCCTTCATGTAACGAGTTATCCTACTTCCTCCCTGTAATTCTTTTTTCTATTCTGCCCTCCTTCCCAACCCTTTTGATTTTGAATGATTGATCATTTCATGGTAAGCATAACTCACTAGTGCTGTCCCCCTATATAACCTATCCACTGTTTGGTTGAAAATTGGGTCACAAGGGTAAATTCCATTCCAGACTTGAAAGGTAGCCAAGAGCCACAGTCTCAGGTTCCTCATTTCTTTCTGACCCCAGGTTCTGTGTTCTGTAACATCATATTGATTACTTGAAATTTGCCATGATTAGAGTATTTACACCTAGGAAATCAGTAAAAACTACAAATCATAACTTTTTTTTCATCTCAAGAACCAAATGTTAGACATTTACCAGCACATCCCTGAGCATAGGAAGGCATTCGGGACAAATGTGTTAGTATACTTGAGTAGCACTAAAAATGTTTGTGCAAGGAACCCCCAGACATTCCTGATAGGGGCTTTGAGCATTGTGATTTGGAGGGTGCTATGGGTTAATGCACCAGACTGTAAAGCCGTTTGAACTACAAGGTCATCAGTTCAAGCACACCAGCTGCTCCTTGGAAACCCTATACAGGGTCTCTATGGGTCAGAATCGACTCAACGGCACTTGACAACAACAACAACATTAAATAAGTGATCTTGGACTTTCTAGCAGCTTATGCATAGGATATGCTGCTCATTAGGTAAAAAGCACACCAGTGCTTAGAGCAATCCAACCATTACTTTACTGAGACCAGAGAGATGTCCCTATCGAAAGTTTAAAAAGAAAGCACAATCGTGCTGAGCCGCAACGAATCGCCTCCTGGCGAGCCAAGCAGCATCTGGAAACGGTTGTCACTTCGCGAACATTCACCGCTGGGGGGAAATGGTTGAAGCCAACCAACCACCCTGGAAAGCTCTTCATTGGAGGGCACAATACAGAAACTAACGAGAAAGCCTTGGAAGCAGTATTTGGCAAATATGGACGGATTGTCGAAGTTACTCTTGAAGAAAGACCGTGAAACCAACAAATCGAGAGGATTTGCTTGTCACTTTTGAAAGCCCAGCAGATGCCAAAGATGGAGCCAGAGATATGAATGGAAAGTCTTTGGATGAGAAAGCTATCAAGGTGGAACAAGCCACTAAACCAACATTTGAAAGTGGCAGGCGTGGACCCCCACCACCTCCAAGAAGCAGAGGCCCACCAAGAGGCCTTAGAGGTGGAAGAGGAGGCAGTG